GCCCGGGGATCCGCTAACCTGGAGCCCTGCGGGGCGGCCGTCTCTCCTCCGCCGAGGCCCCCGGGGGCCGAGCTGCAGCCGGGCTCGGCTTCCAGGCAGGGCGGACACAGCAGCTCCGGCAGGACCGAGAAGTCCAGCCCGGGGATCCGCTAACCTGGAGCCCTGCGGGGCGGCCGTCTCTCCTCCGCCGAGGCCCCCGGGGGCCGAGCTGCAGCCGGGCTCGGCTTCCAGGCAGGGCGGACACAGCAGCTCCGGCAGGACCGAGAAGTCCGGCGGCTGCCCGTCCACGAAGAGCTCCCCCTCCATGGCTCCATGCCGGCCTCTCCCCTCCCCCAGATATCCCGGGCCGGGCGCTTGATGGGACGCACCTGCCGGGCAGGTGGAGCGGAAGGGAGGAGGCCAGAAAGCCAGGGGGGTGTGTGTCTGTGAGTGGTTGGAGGTTCGAATCCCCGCCATGGGTCGGAATGCCAGCCTCCCGGGAGGGCCTGGAGATCTCCTGGAATTGACAACTGAACTCCAGATTGCAGCAATCCGTTCCCCTGGAGGGAAGGGCTGCCTTAGAGGGTGAGATCTAGGGCAATGTGCAATGCCGGGCTCCTTCCCCAACCCCCAATAGCCAGGGTTTTCTCAACCCAGAGCTGGCAGCAATAGCCGTGGGTGACCCTGGGCCAGTTAGGCACTCTTGGCCTAATGCACCGCTACAGCGCCTGGCTTTGATGACCTGCGTTCTGCCTAAGCTGGCCTGGAGCAATGCGCCCTCTAAGCTGTGGCGCCTTGTGAGCAAAAATTCTACTTTGTGAGCCCGCTGGCATTCAAGTTGTGAGCAAGCGATTTGGCTGCTGCGTAAATCACTTCGCTCTGGAGGCCTCCTTCCTGAGCCAAGGCAAAAAGGTGTGAGCCGGAGGCTAAAAAAACTGTGAGCTGGCTCACACTAACTCAGTTTAGAGGGAACACTGGCGTGTAGCTAGTTAAGGCTTCCCTTGGACTCTAACCAGGACCTACACAGGCCTGGGAACGGGGTGGATAAATTTCCCTTGGGGCAAGGGAGTTCTTGGCTCAGGAGGGATATGACTTTAAGAAAGACTTGGCCTCTTTAGCAGAGAATAGTTCCAGCCGCTGTTGTTATCTGGAGTCACTAAATGGAACCTCCATGCTCAGATGCAGTCTACCTCTTACTAATCAGTTGTTGGGGGAAACCACAGGGGGTTATGGCCATCCCTTTCTCGTGAACTTTCCCACAACATTGGGCTGGTTGGTGCCCAAACCAGCCCATGAGATGGATGAAATATTAAGTTCATCTCATTTCTTCCAGTGTTTCCTTTTAGTCTTTTACTGTTTCCATAAACAGTGTACTTTGTTTCAGTTAAAACTAGAGGGTCTGAATCAGTGCTCCCTCTAAGCAGAGGAGTCTTGTGAGCAAAAATTCTACTTTGCGGGCTCCTGCCATTCAAGCTGTGGGCGAGCGATTTGGCTGCTGCATAGATTAGTTTGCTCTGGAGCCATCCTACCTGAGCTAAGACAAGAATCTGAGCTGAAGGCTAAAGAACTGTGAGCTAGCTCACACTAACTCAGCTTAGGGGGAACACTGGTCTGAATCAACCTTAGTAGTCCAGAGTTTGCCTGCAGAGATGATGGAAGGACCTAGTCTTCCATGACTTGGTTGTGACAGAACCTCCAAAACCTTACTAGGGCTCAACAGCGCCACCTAGAGCATCTGGGATCTTGGACCCCTGGGGGTTTACATTAGCTTACATTTCGGGGCAAAGCCCTCTTGTGTGGCCTGCATGACGCCATCTTTGTTACCTCCTGGTGCTTACTTGCCCCAATTCTTGCGGGAGAACGGAGATTGGCCGCTCTCAAGAGAACTTTATCTCTGGCTCAGGGGTCATTTCCCGCAGGAGCGCACAGGAGCGGGGCTCCGGCAGTAAAGAGCCCAGGGGGCGGGCACATGCAACAAGCCCCGCCCCCTGCTCCCAGCAGCCCTCAGTCAGAGCAAGAAGCAGCCAGGTAAGTTGCAGAGCCCCCCCCCCCCATCCAAAACAGTCCAGTGGCACCTTTAAGACCAAGTTTTATTCAGGTACAAGCTCTCCCTCCTCTGCGAGGACAGATCTGCACACACACCCCACAGCTAGCAATACAAACAGTCCAGTGGCACCTTTAAGACCAAGTTTTATTCAGGTACAAGCTCTCCCTCCTCTGCGAGGACAGATCTGCACACACACCCCACAGCTAGCAATACAAACAGTCCAGTGGCACCTTTAAGACCAAGTTTTATTCAGGTACAAGCTCTCCCTCCTCTGCGAGGACAGATCTGCACACACACCCCACAGCTAGCAATACAAACAGTCCAGTGGCACCTTTAAGACCAAGTTTTATTCAGGTACAAGCTCTCCCTCCTCTATGAGGGCAGATCTGCACGCCCCCCCCCCAAAAAAATAGCTAGCAATCCAAAAGAGTCCAGTGGAGCCTGAGCGGTGGGTGTTGCCTTCTGACACACTTCCGGTGATGTCAGGGGGTGTGGCATATGCAAATAAGTTATGCTAATGAGCTCTGGCACCTCTTTTTCAACGAAATGACACCTGCTCATGCTTGTTGACAGAGCTAATCTTCAAAGCCCGGGTTGTTTCTTCCCCCCCACCAGACGCCAGGTGCAAGATCAACTGGCTCATCCGAGTCCTTGGGAAAGCTTAATTAATGATTATTGGCTGGTAGCTAGCATTTAGGGTATAAGACGCCTAGTTTTAGTGGTGTGTGTGGTCTCGGTCGGATTCTGGCCGGCTTCGCTGTGTGTGTGCACGCTCAGGGCCCAGCAGATGGACACGTAGCCTGCTTTTTCTGTTAAGTCCGAAGCTTTTTTTAATTTTAATTTTTATTATTATTATTCAAAATCGCCTTGTAAGCAACCAGGACCTCTCATATCATTTCCTTGGGATTCCTCTGAACCTGGAACACCTCTCCAGCTATGTTGTGTCCCTTACCTTTGTACAACTGCTGTACAGTACAGAAGGCAAGGTCCCCAGAGCACCCGCAAGATATAGGTAGACCACTGGAATCAGTGTGTAGGGATGCCTTGTGCAAATGGAGTGGGGAAAGCCACGTTTATGCCCTCCTAATCTATCCAAGACACTCATTTGGTGAGCACACAAGGGATGGTCTTTTTGGTGGCAGCCCCACGATTCTGGAACTGCTTCCCCAGGGAAGCATGCCTGGCCCCCCCACCTTTGAGCTTTAGGATGCAATTGAAGATGGCTTTATTTAGGACCCTATCTAGTGACGTTTACTAGCAGTCCTCAGTAGCTATCTCATAATTTAAAGTATCTAAATCCGCATGGTCAAAGCCGTGGTATTCCCAGTAGTCATGTATGGCTGCGAGAGTTGGACTATAAGGAAGGCCAAGCGCCGAAGAATAGATTCCTTTGAACTATGGTGCTGGAGAAGACTCTTGAGAGTCCCTTGGACTGCAAGGAGATCGAATCAGTCAATCCTAAAAGAAATCAACCCTGACTGTTCCCTGGAAGGCCAGACACTGAAGCTGAAGCTCAAAGACTTGGCCACCCAATGAGAAGGGAGCCCTCACTGGAGAAGACCCTGATGCTGGGAAAGATTGACAGTCAAAAAGACGGGGACGGCAAAGGATGAGATGGTCAGACAGTGTCATAGATGCAATGAACATGAAATTGAGCCAACTTCAGAGGACGGCGGAAGACCGGAAGGCCTGGCGTGATCTGGTCCATGGGGTTGCGAAGAGTCGGACTCGACTGTGCGACTGAACAACAACAATCTATTTATTTTATTAGATTTCTATCCCGCCCTCCCTACATGGCAGGCTCAGGACAGATTCCAAACATAGGTAAAGGTTTCCTGGTTTGAAAGCCAGTCGAATCCGACCCTAGGGTTGCGGTGCTCATCTCAGTTTCCAAGCCGAAGAGTCAGCGCTGTCCGAAGACGCTTCTGTGGTCGTGTGACTCAACATCGAGGCACAAGGAACAGCTGTTACCTTCCCACCGCAGCGGTACCTATTTATCGACTTGCAATTTCTTGCTTTTGAACGGCTAGGTTGGCAGGAGCTGGGACCAGAGACGGGCGCTCACTTCGTCTTGCGGCACTCGGGTCTCGAACTGCTGAACTACCAACCTTCCGGCCTGCAGTTCAGCGTCTTAACCGCTGAGCCACCACAGCTCCGCCAAACATATAGATCTGCAAATGATGCAGATTCACAATTAAAATATATTCATCAGTATAGCAACCACTAAACTCACCACAATGCTAAAAAACATACAATGTGGCTCAACAGATGTAAGTTAATTCGAGTGATGTTGTCGTTCCAGTCGGTTTGTAGGATCTGTGGTCACTGGGGAGGGGAGCAGATGGAAGTGGACTAAAAAGCCTGGTGGAAGAGCTCCGTCTTACAGGCCCTGCGGAACTGTAACGGGTCCTGCAGGGCCCTGATCTCATGAGGTACCTCATTCCACCAGGCCAAAAAGCCCTGGCCCTCGTTGAAGCAAGTCCAGTCCACAGGAGATGGTGGCAGCGACAAGCCTGGACAGCTTCAAGAGGAAATTAGATAAACATATGGAACAGAGGTCCATCAGTGGCTATTAGCCACCAAGTATAGATAGGGACTCTCGGTCTGGGGCAAGGGATGCTCTGTCTTCTTGGTGCTTGGGGGGGCAAGAGTGGGAGGGCTCCTGGTGTCCTGGCCCCACTGCTGGACCTCCTGAGGGCCCCTGGTATTTCTGGCCACTGTGTGACACAGAGTGTTGGACTGGATGGGCCTTTGGCCTGATCCAACATTGGCTTCTCTTGTGTCCTTATGTCGGACATCCCTGGGGCCAGGGACCACCAGCAGATGCTGGTTTGTAAAACACCGTGTTCTACGGGGCTCATATGGGGAGAGGTGGTCTCAAAGATATGCTGGCCCTTGGCTTTAAAGGTGAACACCAGCATCTTGAAACAGATCCAGAATTTGATAGGCAGCCAGTGCAGGTCACACAGCACTGGGCGTATGTGGGCCCTCACAGGCAGCAACATCAACACCCGCGCCGTTGCGTTCTGCACTGGCTGCAACTTCCGGAGCAGAGTCAAGGGCAGCCCCATGTAGAGAGAATCACAGTAATCTAGTTTGTACGAGGCCGTTGCATGGGTCAGTGCAGCCAGGTCGCCGGGGGACAGGGCTGGCTCACTCACTAGGCGAATTTGGCGATCACCTAGAGCGGGCCGGCCCTTAGGGGCGCCAAGCTGCACCCGCCCCATACTTGTGTTTATTTGTGTTTTTCATTCTTCCTAAAATGCATTTATTTATTCTGCTGGGGGAGAGGCATGGGGCCAACTGCCTGATCTGCCTCAGATGAAAAAAGGCAGACCTGGCAGTGGCGGTGAGCCAGTGTTCCCTCTAAGCTGAGTCGGTGTGAGCTAGCTCACAGTCTTTTAGCCTCCGGCTCACACATTTTTGCCTTGGCTCAGGAAGGAGGGCTCCGGAGCAAACTAACTTATGCAGCAGCCAAATCGTTCGCTCACCCCTTAAAGGCCAGTAGCTCACAAAGTAGTATTTTTGCTCACAAGACTCAACAGCTTAGAGGGAGCACTGGTGGTGACCTGGGCCTCCAGTCAGGGAGGCATCCAGGAACACCCCCAGACTCTTTACCCTTGGGGTTGGCACCAATGGGGCCCCATCACAGGCCTGATAACCCAATCCTAGTCTCTCCTCCCCCCCCCCCCCCCCCCGCCCCAGGTGCAGGACCTCCGTCTTCGATGGATTCAGTTTCAGTCGGCTTTGCTGCAAGTTCCAGAGTTCCCTCTAAGCTGAGTCGGTGTGAGCCTAGCTCACAGTCTTTTAGCCTCCGGCTCACCCATTTTTGTCTTCGCTCAGGAAGGAGGGCTCCGGAGCAAACTAATTTATGCAGCGGCCAAATCGCTCGCTCACAACTTTAAGGCCAGTAGCTCACAAAGTAGAATTCTTGCTCGCAAGACTCCACAGCTTAGAGGGAGCATTGGTCATGGCCAGTGTTCCCTCTAAGCTGAGTGTGGGCCAGCTCACAGTCTTTTAGCCTTCGGCTTACGCATTTTCGTCTTCGCTCAGGAAGGAGGGCTCCGGAGCAAACTAATTGATGCAGCGGCCAAATTGCTCGCTCACAACTTTAAGACCAGTAGCTCACAAAGTAGAATTCTTGCTCGCAAGACTCCACAGCTTAGAGGGAGCCTTGGTCATCCAGCCACGGCTTGTATGTGTTTTATCTATGTTCGTGAGCTGCCTTGAGTTCCGTATGTAAGAAAGGCAGCTAATAAATGTTTTAAGTAAAGGTAAAGGTTTCCATTTCTCGAAAGCCAGTCAAATCTGACTCTAGGGGTGCGGTGCTCATCTCCATTTCCAAGCTGAAGAGCCAGCGCTGTCCGAAGATGTTTCCGTGGTCATGTGGCCGGCGTGACTAGATGCCGAGGCGCACGGAATGCTGTTACCTTCCCCACCTCTTTATGTACTTGCCATTTCTTGCTTTCGAACTGCTAGGTTGGCAGGAGCCGGGGCCAGAGACGGGAGCTCACTCCGTCATGCGGCATACTTGGGTCTCGAACTGCCGAGCTACAGATCTTCCGGTCTGCAGCTCAGCGTCTTAACCACTTAAGCCACCGCAGCCCTTTTAATAAATGTTTTAGATAAAATACAAAAAAAATTGTGAACAGAACCCCGAACCCAACTGTTTTTAACATAACAGAACTGTCTCTTTATTGTGACGTTGGTTGCTTCCACCCACGCTGAGCTCTGTTTTGCCAACGGGGTCTGCGTTCGAGGATTAGGAGGGCTATATTCAAAAACATGCCTAGAGTACCTAACTATCCACCACCAAATCAGATCCACACCCTTTAAAATGGAAAACAAAATTCAACGAAATGGTTCTTTGGGGTCTCTCACCAGGAAGTATTTCCATTAAAAAAATAATACTAATACTTTGAACTAGACCTTCTCTTAAAGAGAATCCTCCCCTATCCCCACCAAAGAGTGCACGGTGGGGAAAAAGACGGGGACATCTGTTCTGACCATGTGTTCACTCGTAATAGTGAGCGACGGGTCCCTGCAGAAACCAACAGATACATCCAAGGGATCTCCAGCAAACAAACGAAACACAGAAAAACTCCCAAGTTTTAAAAGCACCCCTTTGTGTAACAGTGTGTGTGTGTGTGTGTGTGTGGGGGGGTGAAACAGCCAAGATCCATGACATATACAACCAAAGTGCTTGCGAAATTATTACGTCACATTCTCCCTGCAGACGCCCACCACGTTAATGGGGCCGTATAAACTTATATCCCTTAAAAAGACACGAGGCGCTGTGTTGCTGCTCCTTCTCTCTCTTTGGGGCCAAGTCAGCTGCCTGCAGGATTTTCGGGAGAGCCAACTGGCATCGGAGGGCCTCTTTCAGCATCGTTTCGGGGCTAGGAAGGAGACCGCGCGTCGGCCAGCCACAGTTTACAGAAGTGCACCCCTTTCCTCCGCGCCGTCTTCTTTGCTCCCGGAGCACCAGACGTGTTTTCCGTTTTTTAAAATCTCACCTGCTTCCACCACACGCCTGCCTCGCTCTCTCCAAAGCCTCCGGAGACGACCCAGGTCGGCCCCGCTCTGGAGGATAAACGGTCCGGCTCTCGGCTCCGGCGCCCTCAGTGCGGCTTGGGGACGTGCCCGTCCACGTAAAAGTTCCTCGTGATCTTGGGGAGGGTGAACTCCGCTCCTTCCAGTTCTTTGCCGAGGACGATCTGGCAGCCCAGGCGGGAGTTCTCCTGGAGCAAGGGGGCCTGGTCCAGCATATCATCCTCCCTAGGAGAAGAGGGGCAAGAAGGTGACGGGCAGGGATCATTTCCTGCAGAAGCACACAGGACCGGAGCTCCAGCAGTAAAGGGCCCAGGGGGCAGGCACATGCAACAAGCCCCGCCCCCTACTCCCAGCAGCCCTCAGTCAGAGCAAGAAGCAGCCAGGTAAGTTGCAGAGCCCCTCTGCCCCCACCCCAAAACCGTCCAGTGGCACCTTTAAGGCCAAGTTTTATTCAGGCACAAGCTCTCCCTCCTCTGTGAGGGCAAATCTGCACATCCCCCCCCCCAAATAGCTAGCAATCCAACACAGTCCAGTGGAGCCTGAGCGGTGGGTGTTGCCTTCTGACACACTTCCGGTGATGTCAGGGGGCGTGGCATATGCAAATGAGTTATGCTAATGAGCTGCACCTCTTCCTACAAAATGACCCCTGGTGACGGAAACCAGAGAGGACCCCAAATCCACTGGCCTGGCTATGGGGCTCGGTCATCAGCCCTCCAGCCCCACAAGCAGAGTGAACAAGCAGCCAACGAATGTCTCCCTAGTTTTGTAAGCCAGAGTGGTGTGATGGGGGCCCGGGGCAGGGGGGTCCCCAACGTGGTGCCCGTGGGAGCCACGGTGTCCACCAGCACTTTCCCTCGTGCTCACTAAGTGCCTTTGGAGAGTGGGTGGGGCTAGGTGGAGCATTTGCCCATCAGGGCTTGGGATTGGCTCTGCAGACTGAAAGACATCCTGTTAAACACAGCTTCTCCCTGATGGGTCAAATTGTACTATTACAGCCCCGCGGGAACTTAAGGTCTACCAATCAACACCTCCTGGTGTCTCCCGGCCCCAGGGACGTCCGACTTGCCCTCAACGAGGACCGGGGCTTTTTCGGCCCTGGCCCCTACTTGGTGGAACGAGCTCCCATTAGAAATCGGGGCCCTGCGGGGACCTACTACAGTTCTGCAGGGCCTGAAAGACGGAGCTCTTCCGCCGGGCTTTCGGTTGGGGCAGCGGGCACCCACCTGCTATTGGCCTCCCCTCCAGTGACCGAAGATCCGAATGGCCACCTGGGAACCAACTGCTTCTTGTTGGCGCCTTGGTGTTTAGTCACGCCAGCCACATGAGCACGGAAACATCTTCGGAAAGCGATGGCTCTTCGGCTTTGAAACGGAGATGAGCACCGCAACCCTAGAGTCGGACTCAACTGGCTTTCGAGCAAGGGAACCTTTACCTTTAACTGTTGATTTGTTGTATTTTATGATGGAACCCACCCTGGGCCCGCTTGCGGGGAGGGCAGGAGACAAATGGAATTAAATAAATATTATGCATAACTTGACTCCTTGACATTTTGTGGTCCTCCTGCAGCAGCGATTTCGTGGTTGGTCTGCCTCCTGCAGCAGCCATTTTGGGACTGTGCCCACCGTCCTGTGTCAGAATTACAAAGGTGCCCGCAAGCTCAAAAAGTTTGGAGACCCCTGGTTAACAGTGTCGGATTAGTACCTGGAATCCCCGCTCATGCCATGGGAGCTTGCTGGGTGACCTTGGGATAGTCACACTCACACACCCTCAGCCTGACCTACCTCACAGGCTTGTTGTGAGGATAAAATAGGGGAGGGGGATGTAAGCCACTTCGGGTCCCCCCCGTTGGGGAGAAGGGTGGCATCGTAAAGTTAAAGGTAAAGGTTCCCCTTGCTTGAAAGCCAGTCGAATCCGACTCTAGGGTTGCGGTGCTCATCTCTGTTTCCAAGCCAAAGAGCCAGCGCTGTCCGAAGACATCTCCGTGGTCATGTGGCTGGCGTGACTAGACGCCGAGGCGCACGGAACGCCGTTACCTTCCCAGAAAAGCGGTTTATCTACTTGCAATTTCTTACTTTCGAACTGCTAGGTTGGCAGGAGCTGGAACTAGAGATGGGAGCTCACTCCATCACGCAGCAACTCGGGTCTCGTACTGCTGAACTACTGACCTTCTGGTCTGCAGCTCAGCGTCTTCACCTCTGAGCCACCGCGGCCCGCTGAAAGGTGGCATACGCATGGATTAAATAAATACGGCGATTGATTTGTTAGGACCCCCAGAAACCTTTGCTGATGTTGGAAGTGTTTCTAATACTACAGCTTTTGCATAACTGGACGGTACAATCTGTCCGGCCCAGGCTTACCTGAACTCGTCAGACTCTGGAAGCTAAGCAAGGTCGGCCCTGGTTAGTCCTTAGATGTGAGACAGCCCAGGGAGACCGGGGTTGCTACGCAGAGGCAGGCAATGGGAAACCACCTCTGCATGTCTCTTGCCTTGACCTGCGTGAACCAAGCTGGCCTGGTCTGACTTCGGAAGCTAAGCAGGGTCGGCCCCGGTTAGTACTTGGATGGGAGACCCCCAAGGAAGTCCAGGGTTGCTACGCAGAGGCAGGCAATGGCAGACCACCCCTGAGCATCTCTTACCCTGACCTGGATGGGCACAGCTCGCCCGATCGCGTCAGACCTTGGAAGCTTAGAAAGGCTGGCCCCGGTTAGTACTTGGATGGCCGATCCCCAAGGAAGTCCAGGGTTGCTACGCAGAGGCAGCACCAGAGTACTACACAGATCAGATTTGTTAGATGTAAGCAGGAGCAGGAATGGAATAATAGAATATCAGAGTTGGAAGGGACCTCTAGGGTCATCTAGTCCAGCCCCCTGCACAATGCAGGAAATCCACGACTACCTCCCAGAGTCCATATATCTGAGGCGGAAGGTGCGCATTACACCACTGCATCCTTACTCTCTCCCTTGCAACGCCCCTCCCGCCTTCAGACAGGGATATGAGGACTCTGGGTGTGCCGTTCCTGTTTGTATCTGACGAAGGAAGCGTTGCCTCTCGAAAGCTCACACCACCCCAAAATCTCGTTGGTCTCTTAAGGTGCTGCCGGATTCGAATCTTGCTTCTCTCCTGCAGACTGACAAGGCCTCCCCTCTGAGTCTCCGAGAAAAGAGTCGATGTGTGGACCCTACCGTTCATCCGGGGTGGGAAGCTTGTCCACAAAGTCGTGGCTCACGTAGACGTGACAGGTGGAGCAGGCCAGAGAAGCTTCGCAGGCGCCTGGAAAAGTAGAGAGAGGAAGGCCCGCTAAACAAAGCATCCGGATGCTCATGGGGTTTCAGTGCAGCTCAGCCTGCGCTGGACTTGGCGGTTCTGCAGTCTGGCCAAGAGGGGGCGACGCAAGACAGACAAGCAGGGGATGTGGACAGTCACGCCTGTCCCAACGTGGATATGCCACAGAGTTGGGGAAAGTGCAAGAAAGGAGCGGCAAAATGATAGAAGGGCTGGACTCTCTTTCACCGAGCTGTTTGTGCTTCAGGTTCTATGGGGTGATATTAAGAACGTAAGAACATAAGAGAAGCCAATGTTGGATCAGGCCACTGGCCCATCCAGTCCAACACTCTGTCAGACAGTAGCCAAAAATACCAGGGGCCATCAGGAGGTCCAGGACACTAGAAGCCCTTCTACTATTCCCCCCTCCCCGGCACCAAGAATACAGAGCATCACTCGCCCCAGACCGAGTCCACAGAGTCCCCCCTCCAAAGCAGCCGTTTCCTCCAGGGGGAACTGATCTCTGCAGTCTGGAGAGAAGCTGGAATTCCGGGGGATCTCCAGGCCCCACCTGGAGGCTGGCACCCCCGGACCTCAGTGGGGCACAAGGCCACAGAGTCCCCCCTCCAAAGCAGCCGTTTTCTCCAGGGGGGACTGATCTCTGTCGTCTGGAGATGAGCTGGAACTCCAGGGGATCCCCAGGCCCCTCCTGGAGGCTGGCACCCCCGGACCTCAGTGGGGCACAAGGCCACAGAGTCCCCCCTCCAAAGCAGCCGTTTTCTCCAGGGGGGACTGATCTCTGTCGT